CTTAAGGGTAGTGTGGGAAATACTTAAATGAATGGTCACTTGGTGGCATTATTGCTACTTACAAGTTGCTTATTCTTTGCAACCGGACAGGCCAGATCTTCAAACCTGTCTTCGTGATTTAAAATCTGTGTGATCTTGGGTAAATTACTCTGAGCCTCATTTTCCAATATATAAAATAAGCATCTATCTTTAAGGATAAATTAAAACAATTTATGGTAACAAAACAAATATAATGACATAAGCTGGGTGCTAGAGGATAACCAGAAGTTCAACAGCTAAAGAGTAAGGATAAGGACCCTTTTATGGTAAAAAAAAGAAGACATCGTTCCTGCCCTTGATGAATTTGCAGTGTGCTGATGCCCTATTTGCAGCTGTGCCACAGGATGTTGGACAGTATCTGCTTCAGAGGAGGTGTAAAATAATAATTTGATGAATGAAAAAAAAAACAAAAAACGAATGAATTCTCCGCTATTGGTACACAGGGTGGTTTGTGAACCCAGAAGAGGGACTACCAGAGTGGATATTTAGGGGCGGCTTTCCGGAAGAAATGACAGTGATTACTGATTAGGATTGGATGGGGTAAATGCCTCTTTGTTGAGATGACAGCTTAAGCTAAAGCTGTGAAGAGGAAAGTAATATTAGGTGTCTGGGAATTAGTTCGGTTTGCAGAAGGGACATGTGGGGTGGAGGAAAGAAATTCTGGGGTTAAGTAGGGGTAAAATCTTAAAGGGCTTTGCACATCAAGTTCAATGGTGCAAATACTTATCCTAAAGGATTTAAGCAGACTAGTGCTTTGGGTTTTGAATGCTTACTCTGCTAGAACGTGGTAAAAACTGGGGCAATGACTCAGAGCTGGGACAGTATGTCATTTTGAGAGAAATGCAAGTTCTGTGGAGAAGTGAGACAAGAATTAGGTAGAGCTGGAAAACCCACAAAGAATCTGATCATGAAGGGTCTGATGTCTTTTACTGTATTTGCAGCCTGGAGCCAAAGAAAAAATTTAAACAGGGAAATGATATAATCGTACTTATCTTCAAAAAATAACTGGCAGCAAAATGAAAAAATAACTGGAAAAGAAAAAGTCTAGGGGCAAAGTAGGGAAGCGATTTTCTTCTTAAATCTCTGAAAGACACATTGCAATGAACCAATAGACAGATGAAGTTTTCTTGCCTCTAAGTCTCTTGGAAATTTCTAAAACAGAGCTTAATCTATTGAGAGATACCATGTACTTTCACCAGTACTGCTAGAGGATGTGTTTGTCTAAATGAAAAATACATGCACCCACATACAATGCACATACAGGACTTAGAAAAGAAAAAGAGATTTCAGCAATCTTCTATTTCATATAAGTTTTACTCATACTTTATATGAAATTGTTAACGATAGCGGTGGTGATAATTACAGAGAAATTCCAAGAACCAGAAAGGGACATGCCCATTCATTTAGATATCAGGCATAGCTCATACTATTCAGATGGAGTTAATAACTCCCTGTGGCTCCTGTTGAACCCTTGGCAGGCTGAGGCTAGAGTACTAAGGGAGAGGATTCTCACTTCTTTTGGCCTGGCTGGAGGTACAATGCCAGCACATTGCAATAGCTGCAAAGGCTAAGAAGATCAGTGGGACATGGAAAACATCAATCTATTCCCATTTCATCAGGATAGAATGATGCATGAGATGGAATGGTAGTGAATTGAAAAAGGTAAGTTCAACTTATAGATAATGACAAGACTATTTTAAATAATGCCAAATAGTATTCACAACCTATTTTTATCTTTACTCATAAAC